CGCTCGTGTTCAGGGAGAGGCAGCATGGCATCACCGGGAACTTACTAGAAAAGCAAGCTCTCGGGACGCCCCCAGCCCCACCAAATCAGGCCCACAGGTAAGTGATGCACACTTTAGATTTGAGAGAGGCTGGTCTGGGGAGCTGCAGTGGTGGGGGACACTGCACCCATTATGAACTCACAATCTAGACCACCTACGACATGACAGACCCCAGCTCCGGGCTGTGCAGGGCACAGGTCCTACAGTCAAACTGCCTAAACTTAAATCCTCACTCTGCTTAGCTGCTCTGTGACCCTGGCAAGACACCCAGCATTTCCAAGCCTGTTTTTGCATCTGTGAAATTCGAGTAATGATAAAAAAAAAAAGAGTCCCATAATGTTTATTACGAGGTGTAAATAGGATATCGACCTAACGTATTTAGTTCAGTGCTTGGCTCTCCGTAAGCGGTCACCAACTGCTGTTATGATTATCTAGCTACCTGTTTACCTGTCTGTCTGTTGACGGTGCGGGCAGGAAGAACATACCTACCTCGTAGCCTTTCAGAGAGGATTAAATGAAATGACTCTGTTTAATTCATTGTCTTGCATAAAACAAACACTCCATGAATAGCAGCAATTAATATTATCTTCCTTCATTACTTCTTTTGAGAAAGTGCCCGTAACGGGCTGAACATTTAATGACATTCTCGGCTGTTATCTCCGAGTCACACTCAAGGTGTGCCACACACTCGTGTCCAGAATGTCCTTGGCTCCCTAGAGGTACTTGTTAAGCCAGGAGCCAAGCGGTCAGCCCTTGCTGGCCAGGGCCGGTCAGGCAGGTTTCTTCTGCCTGTGATCTCTTGGCATAGAGGAGATGGGATGGTCTCTCTCACATGGCAGCTCCCGTGGGGGAGCCCTAAGTGTCCTGTACCATCAAGCGCTGGTTACGGTGTCTAAGGGACCTCATCGGTTGAGGATTTCTAGCAGGAAGTAGCTGAAATCCCAAGTAAAGAATGATTTATTTTCTCACCGTGAACACAGGTTCTGAGGCTGGGCAGCCCTAGAGTTAATTATTACAGCAGTTCAATGACATCATCCAAGACCCAGTTTGCTCGTGTATTTCCCTCTGCCGTCTTCAGGGTGTGAGCTGGCTCTCCTCATGCTGTCAATATGGCTGCGGCCACTCCAGGCATCGCATCTTTATTCTCTGACATTCAGAGACGCACAGGAGAGCGTTATGGTCCCGTGTCTAATTTTAAAACATAAGGAAAAGTTTCCGAAGTCCATCCACTTACTTCTCTCCAACAAGCTTTCCCTTCTAGTCTCATGGGTCAGAATCATGTCACATGACCCTTCCTAGGCGAATCGCTGGCAGGAAGAATGGATTAATTTCATGGCTCAGACCCATCTCCCCTTAAGCTGGGTATAGGGTCACTTTCCCTCAGCACATAGCCGTGAGGCAGGGGGCACCCCTCAAGCAAAAGTGGGGTTCTGCCAGCGAGAAAGATGACAGGCATGGATTTGTGTGGATTATCCACAGTGTCTGCTTCGGAAGCCTTTAGCCTGAAGCAAACTCTTCCAACCCTGATCCCGTCATCCCAATTACCTACTCAAGCAGAGACAGGAGAGCAGAATTATAGCACAGAGGGAATTTCGGGAGGCGGTGGTGAGTTTTAATGCTTCTGCAGGAAATTCCTGACTCTGTGGGAGCAAGCTGATCGCGTACCCCCTTTATGTTCGCGGGAGTCTACACTAGGATTCATATTCATCTCAGGATTTCTAACCAGCTGAGATGTCTCCTGGGAAGAACCTTATGAAGGGGACTTAGGGGCTGAGACACCCAAAGAAAGGCTCAAAAAGAAAGTGTCGGATACAAAGGAGATTCTGAGAGGGCACAGGGTCAGACGCTCAGGTAGTCCCTAGCCTTTCGGACGTCCAGGTCCCTTACACGTGGGAGGAGATGCCATTGAGAATGGGGGCGACACCAGGGGGACCGACAGTGTTGGTCGCCATGCTGATCCTAGCTTCCAGAAGGACTTCAAAACAGACGCCTCCAAAAGGGGTCGTGGCAGGAAAAGGAGAAAGTAGGTGAGGCAGTGGACATTAGCCCAGTGAACGCTTCAAGGAAACCCCCAAAAAAGGGCCGAAGATGGCCATCGAGGGAGGGCTAGAGGTCTCCAAATTGGACGCACCAGGACACAGAGTAATACGGTTTTACTCCTGGTTTTACCTCAAGTCTAGCATGTTATGGAAAAGACGAAGTGAGTCGAATTAATGCCTTTCCCCTGGGTGACACTGAGGGATGTTTCACAGCAGTGTCAAGCGCATCACCTGATGCTTTAGCCCTGACTCGGCAGCTGGAACATCGGCCCGCCGAAGACCAGAACCGTGTCGCACATCTGCCTGGCACTTGTGCGAAGCAGAGTATGCCCAGGATAATGGGCGTCGCAACTGTTGGTGGGTAATGTTTTTAACAGCTTTTTTTGCATGATGACCATGGCACCCGAGCACACCTCACATTGCCTAGCAATGCAAAACATCATCCATGTCATCACAGATCCAAACACGTATTTGTGGAATAAGCTGTTGCGGTCGTCATGCCTCACGGTGACGACTCGTACATCATCACACATGGAAACGGTGCCCGTTTGTACGAGACGCGGGCAGTCGAAGTTAATCGCCCAGGGCCTTAGAGTTTGAGGACTTGAAAGCGTGAGTTCACCATTAGAAGAATGAGCCTTCTGCAAACGACAGAAACGAGAAGCCTCATTTCTCCCAACAGTGGCTAAAGAGAAATGCCCGCTGACAGCCTAGGTCCCCCCCAGACTGGCACAGGAGAGGGGTTTCCTTCTGCAAAGTCTCCTTTTGTTTACTCTTTGTGACGTGCAGGTGTTCTCGGTGAAAATGACGGGGCTCGTCCCCGTCACGTGGGGCTCGTCCGTGACAAGAGGGGAAGCAGATCGTCCCCACCAGTGAAAGCTGGCATCGCAGAGCGCAGGGGCCACAGCCCAAGCGCAGTCTGCCACCTGCACGCCGTGTCTAGGGACCTGACTGGCTGGTTGCATGGAGGTGTCCCATCCGTTACCTCATTTTATCTTTAAAGTCAGGGTAGGGGGTGGGCAGGGCAGGGGTTCTCGGCTCCTCTGTGGAGTTCGGGGGTCTAGGCTGCGCGAGGTAAGATGGCTCTGTCGAGATTGCACCCCAAGGCAGGCCCGCTGACACCTCGCAGTGCCTGCTGCAGGCTGTATATGCCCTGTCCGAATTGGAAAGGCATTGATTGCCCCACCCCATACGGGCCTTGAAAAGGACATTGACGATAGAGCTTCAAGGAGGAAGTCGGTGCTGAGGGACTGTGTTTCCCCAGACTCCAATGTGTCTGTCCTCTAAGCAGTCAAGGTAGGGCCCGGGGCTCGGGGTCAGGCGTGTGGGTGGTGGTGAGCGTGAGTTCTTGGGGTGAGAGACGGTGGCTCTCCGTGGCCGGAGGGTGGCGCTGCCCAGCGGCAACACGAGGCCCCATACTCTTCTCCGTGGGTTCCCAGTCCCGGCTTCCTTCATCAACACGGGCAGCGGGCTGGGGGCCCCTCCCGGAGCTCAGCCTCTGAGTCTCAGGGACCGGGGGCGGGGGGTGGGGTGCGTTTCACTGGGCTCCTCCTCAAAAAAGGACTGGCCTCGAGGAGGTGACCTGATGTCTCTTCACCTCAGTTTCCTCTTCCGCAAGTGCGGACACGTCAACTGATTAATTTATTTGATTAACGAAGTGATCTCTTGGGGCTCTTGGCGGGAAGAGATCAAGCAGACGAACCACGTAGCATGGCGCCCAGCACACACTAAGTGCTCGACGAAGATGAGCAGCGACTTCGATTGTAATTACACAACACGAAGTCGGGATAGAAATACGTAGAGCCGTCCTTAGCATCACTGCGTCCCGTGATTTTAATTAGTACGTGAAGAAGGGAGGCTCGCCCACTCAAATCCATGCTATGAAAACAACTTTGAAAACTGCTCTGCTTATTCCTTTCACTCCAGGCTGTCACACTCTCAGAATGTACTCACTGGGAGACTTTCACGAGGAGACGTTAAGGCCCGGAGTGGCACGTAAGGCCACACCATTCAAAGAAAGCCATCGCACGTTCTGGAAACTCAGGCGGGGCTCACCCACATCTTCCTTCGTTCTCACTTCTAACCTCGCTGAAGACACGACATGCCACCTTCTCAGAAAGCCCCGTTCGCAATTTCCTCTCAGGAACTGATGCAGCCCCATTCTCGATCAGACCTTGTGCAAAACCAATGTGTAAAGTGCTCCAAGGTCGTGTGAATTCTATTTGAAACAGGCTTTGGCCGAGCCGGGAAGAGCAGAAGCAGAGGCCGGGCTAAGGATAAGTCTAGGTTTGCGGACAGTGCACCAAGGCCTGCACAGCAGCTGAGGTGGAGAATTCGGGTCCTGGCAGGCGAATGCCAAACTGTGGGCATCGGATGCACGAGGGAGCAGAGGAGGGGAGGGGAGGGGAAGGCGAGCGGGGCAGGCGACAGCTGTGACATCGCGGAGCATCCAGGTCCTGTCTGGGCTCCCCTCACCCCCTCCATCATCTCGGGCCCTTTATCCTCTGCTCTGTGCACGGAACTTGTCCTTCCTTGGTGCCACCTGAACGTGACACCGAACAGTCTGTGATGTTGGTACGAGACCGGTTTCTAGAGCCCTGAAGACAAATGCGAAGGCGCCGAATGTTAAGGCAAGATGCCCTCCCTGAGTCATGCGACAGAAACTTACAAACGAGGAACTGAAACCTCGGGATGGGGGGAGGGGGAGTTCAGATTGGGGAAAGCACAGCAGTGGCTTAGGATTAAAATGAGCCTCCTCAGGGGTGAGAGGTCACAGTGATGGGGTCATTCCTGGTCACTTTACTGGAAAACGTAGAACGAACACTCTCCAAGTGTCACCTGGCTCCTCTAGGATTCAATTGTTAAACCAAGTTAAATGAAAGTTGTACCAAAAAAAACAAGCTTCAATTTTTGTTTCTTTTTAGTATTTTTACTTGTATGGAGGAAGGACAATGGTTTCTCTAAGTGAGGTTTCAGTTTTCAGTGCTGAAAGCGTTTTTCAGTTTCCAGGGCTTAGAAATGGCATGTGAGCACGTTTAATGGCACCTGACTCTGAAACGTCGGCTTCTGGAGCAGCGTGACTTACACAGTCAAGCTCTGCTCGTTTCTTAAAGAAAAATCACTAAGCTCATAAATGTTTCACTCGTGTGTAAAAGTTTCACGGTCCTTCTATGAATGGCTCATCTCACAATGATGGTCTTGAAAAATGTTACTTTGTGTATGTCCATCTTCGTGAAAAGATTTAATGGGAAGTAAGCATTTATTTTATATAACGTCCCTTTGAAAGTTTACAACCCCAACCAGCCAACGTGAATTAAGACGTCCGACCGGCATATACTGAGCACGTGCTGTGTGCTCCGTGTTACGCTGGGCGTTCGCTGTGGTTCTGCAGGCGTGCAGCCCAGCGAGGCCGGCCGAATGGGCAGCGAGGATTCGAGAGTCTGGAGACCCGTCTTGCTCCTAATTCGGCCTCTCACAGCTCTGGATGAGAAGCACCCCTGAGATGGTCAGATTCTATAGCTGTTTGTTTGACTCCATTCCGGCCTGGGTCTGAAGTCAGCAGCCTGCTTTGACACGATGACACCAAACTAGCAGGAACAAAAAAGGGAGAGTCAGCGACCTAATCTAAAGGCCCGTAGTAAGGTTAACTGATTACGCTTTCCGCATGTTGCCAGCAGCCCCGCCACAACCGAAGCGAAAAGCTCTGGAGCCCTTGCTGGGTGCCGGGCGATGAGCACCTCACATTCATTCGTGTGTTTCGCCCTCCCGACAACCACCACGATTCCATTTTACGTGTGGGGCAACTGAAGCTCGAGGCTTCAGCAAAATCGCGGGGCCCTGCCCATTCGACTCAGATCTGAAGCTGGCTTTTTTCGGCTCCAGAGTTAATGGCTCCCCACCATTATTTAATCGTGTTGCTTAATATCCGCCCCCCATGAGCGACGTGTTGAACCTGTCGGAGGTTCTACTGCTTCTGGCCCCATTGCTTTTTCTTTAGAAAGTGGAACTTGTCCCAAGGGCACGTGTAGGTCATGATGGTCTAACCACATGTACTATCTAAGAGGACTCCTTCGGATGGGGCCAGGTGAGAGGCAGCCAAGACCCTGAGCAGCTCCGCAATCACTACCGGTGTTATGTGAGCACACGGGAACTCCCGATTTTGCGTAATCAGATAATATCTTTGAAGTGGCTAACCGTCATAGTTTTAATAACTGAGAGACTGGGGCCGGGCCGGGCATTGAGGTCGCCCTCCTACAGGATTTGTGAAGACCGCTGACAGGCACGGGAAGGGGGGCAGGTACCTCTCCATCCGCCACTGAGGGCGGAGCAGACACTTAAACCAAAAAAGCAGAGACGATTCATCCAGGTCGAGAGATCACCGTGTGACCCGTCCCTCCACTCGGCAAAGGAGGCCTAGAGAAGGAACAGGAGCAGAAACCGTCCGCAGACAATGTCCCCAAACGTTTGATTGTATAAATAATTTATTTCTGTTCACAGCATCGTATATGCATATAAAAGGGAGCGGGAACAGACGAGGAGGATGGTCAGGACAGAGAATTACAGCAGTAGAAATGAAAACTGAAACCAGGAGACATAGTCCCAACACCATGACAGAGAACTTGTGAAGAACATTGTTCTGAAACAGGGCTGGCCTCCCTGTGCCTATGAGAAAAACATTTCAGAAGCTCACGTGGGAAGGCCCACTTCCTCTGTGTGACACCCATTCATTCTCCGAGGGCAGGAGGCATCATACATCACCGACTGCCATGCTGGAGGGGACACCCCCACCGATCACTCCAAGGCGATTGTGACCTGTGCTTCCTGTTTGGTCAGAGACAAAATGGGCTTTTACTAGTCGAACGTTACAGAAATCAACTGAGACTCTTAGCTATGAGCCGAGACACACAGGGTTTTACTTTACTGCACAATTACTAACAGCTGACTGCACCCTTTACGTATCGATAACGCAAAAAACCAAACTCGTTTCGCATCCGTTGTGAAGCATGGCAGGATCTGAACAGTGATCTTGAACCTAAGAATCGTTAGCACGAGAAGGTTACAGTGTTTGGCATCTGCAATGTCACAAAATAAATATATTATTCTCTCAAGAGTGAGGAACTACCAAAATGTCAAAGTGCTTAAGAAATTGTCTCATGTGAAGAAAATAAAGAAGATGGATTTTTTTTTTTTTAATAATTCTATACAGAATCTTCAGATGATGGGACCAGCCCATTTAGAAATCAGTGAATAATATGCTGTCGATATGTAAACCAAAATCTTGCAGGCTTTTCAACACTGCTCAGCTATATTTTCTCTACTGAGTTTCTACAAAAAGACCAGCATTGGAGGGTACCAAATACACCGACAAAAGAGAAAAGGAAGATGGGCTGCTAGGTTCCTTCTTTAAAATATCTCATCGAAGAATTGGGTTTCAAGCAGGAAGCCAGGAATTCTACCTCTGGTTCTTAAATTAACTTTGTGAGTGCAGTGGACAATAGGCATATATTCGTAATTGACTAACTCACTTGCTCACGCATGACCATGTCCAATTTCTATAGGCCTCCATCGTAAATTAATTGATAACGGTGGGGGAAAAAAAAACATAATTCTACCTGTAAACATGGATTCAAAGAGGAAATAGAAATCAAAGAGTAAGTTTCCCATCTGATACTATGTTTCAGGGCAAATGACAGCTTCTGCAAACCAACACTCGGTCCTGATTATAAAGAAATTTTTAAAATTACATTATTAAAAATATGTATTTATTCTTCTTTCACTTTATGTTCCAAAGCCTCTTTCAAGTACACCGTGAAGTGCCCGAGCGCAGGTGACCGTGACGTCACACGCTTGCTTGTATCTCAAGCGCTCACTGTGGTTTGCATTTGCCACGCAGGCCAGTTCCCACAGGGACGAATGAAGAAGGAGCCCATCCTGCTGCTTTCCCTTCCCTTTTAAATCCATTCAACGAGGTCAGCTTTCGCGACAAGGTGGGGTTTTATTTTTTATTTTTTATTTTTTTGGTGCATGACACCAAATACTCGAACGAAGAATTTTTTAATGGACTACTAAAACCAGAAAGGCCACGATGAACCCAATTAGAAGTGTGAGCATGTCGCCACTTGCAGCTAAAAGGATAAAGAAGGGCAAAGTCTTTTTTCCTGCGGTGAATATTTCTAAGGTGAGTATTCATTCGTAGAACTTTTTTTTTTTTTTAACATGTCTGAAAACCAAAACCCATCATTAAGCGGTTAGTATTATGAGACATCCCTTGCAAAAACCATCTTGCAATTCAGCACACATCTGCAGCTGGTGTGCTCACACAAACCAATGAGCAGGCTAAGAGAATTTGAGATTCCACGCATATGGGTC